AGAAAAATGACAAGAGGAATGAAAAGAAGAATGAAAAGAAAGAAGAAAAGAAGAAATTGGATGATAAAAAGGAAGCTGATAAGAAAGGAGACAAGAAAGGAGAAGATTGTGGGAATGCAAGAGGAGGAAAAGGTGGATGGAAGATGAGTGTGAAAAAAACTGAAAGAAAAGTTGAAAGTAAGAAATGAAAAAGAAGAAAAGCAATGATTTGATTATTGTAGTAGTATTAGTAGTATTATTATTATTGTTATTGTCATTATTACTATTTATTCTTTTATTATTATTATTGTTATTATTATTATTACTACTATTACTATTATTATTTTTTTTTGATTATTATTATCAGTTCAAGTAATAATAATAAAGTACATATTAAATTTTTTATTTATAATTAAATAAATTCTGTGAATATATTTATTAATATATATAATTAATACGATATCAGGATGCGTTATACAAATCAAATATCGCGTAAAATAATAAATTTTAGAAACGGATGGTCAAAGCAATGACGACATCAGAGTAAAGAAGAATAAATTTTTTTTTTTAAAAAAGATAAAATTAAAGTTTTGTGATGGACATTGCATGTATGTGCGTGGGTGTATATCAGATATCAAATAAGTGGTTGTAGAAGTTACACGGATAAATCAAATAAAATATTTGCGCTCGGAAAACAAAGAACAATAGCCAAAACAACAATTCATATACAAAAAAAGTAAGATAATTTGCAAAATAAACAAGATTAAAGAAGAACAATATAATAAAATACGTGTAACAATTTCCTGTTCCAAGAAGAATAGTAAGTAATAACTTTAAAAAAAATATATTTAAGTTTTTAAAATTATTATTAAGTTTTTTTTTCTTTTCAATTTATTACCGAGAAACCCTTCTTCTTCCCTCATTCCGTCCCTTGTTCTTTCCTTCTTTCCTTCCAATCATTTTTAAGCCAGATTTCTAAAAATAATACAGACAGACAACAACTTGTAATTTTTTAACTCCTAAAAAATAAAAAAATCCAATGATGGGCCCTTACGGCTTGTAAAACCAACGTGGCTTTTGTTTAAATCAATTTAATAAAAAAAAAAATGGTTAAAACTATTGCATAAATTTGATCGTAATCTATACCTTAATTAATTAGTCGATTAATATACTGGATATTTTCTCCATAAAGTCAATAATCATCAATACATTACATAAATTACATATAATATAATAATAAATACACAAATCCATACATAAAATAACAAAACAACTTGATTTAAATCTTGAATTTTTTTACACATAAATAATAAACCATTCCTTAATAAATTTAATAACAGAAAAAACTCGATATTTAAAGAAAGATGTATGTATGATGTATTAGAAATTGATTATAGACAGATTAAAGTAGTTTATAAAGATTAAATTGGAAAGTGAGAGGATCTGCTTAACCAATTATACACTAACATCAAAATTACAATGAATGAATGAATGAATGAATGTTATAATTTTGACATTTTATGTTTATTATTATTATTTGTCAAATAACAACAGCGATAACCATTAAAATATATTAATTTTTTTCAAGTTTTATTTACATTTATTTATTCTAAATAACGCCAAACAATTTTGTTATTATTATTATTTATTTATTTATTTAATGTAAATATTATCACGTATTTATAAATATTATGCACATTTATCACTAGAGCTCTGGAAAAAAAAAAGATTAATACTACTGATTTCAGATTCATTCATGAGAGGGGAAGGAACAAAGGAAGGGGAAGCGAAGAAGGTGAAGAAGGGATGAGAGGTGAGGAGGAGGGGACGAGGAGGGGATGATGATAATGGTGATGATGAATGATGATGATGAAGGAGAAAAGGAAGATGAAAAAGATGAAAAGGTAATTAATTAGCAACATGAGAACAATCGCAATTTTTAAGTCGGAAGAATTGGGACTGAAATTGGAATTGTTACTATAATAATCGTTATTTACTAAAAAAAATGAATTTAATAAGTACAGTATATACATATGTATCATACATATGTATATTATAGGAAAACTTCTTGACCAATTAAATCAAGTTGAATATATAAACAATATGTCATTTTTTTTGATTGACTTTTTTCCCCCAAATCTTGTTATAATTCAATAACCCATAAATGTGCCAATTCATCCCTTCTTCCATCATCGAATACCTAAAAAATAACGACGATAACAACAACAACAACAAAACAACATTCATTCTCATTCATCCTATAGTATTTTGCGCATTCATTCATTCATTCATTTATACAACAAACACATCAAAACATGACATTTTGCCGAACGATATTAATTTAATAAGGCACATGCATACATATAATAATATAATACATAATATATATATGATATGTAATATATATACATTTTAAATTGTCTGTTAAAATAGAAAATGTGATTTTATTGTGTAACATAAACAATTCCCAGACTGGATTTATTTCAAAAAAAATTATTTTAAACAAACAAATCAAAATAAAAAATACCCTCTAGCTTATTATATTGGGAATAGTGTGTATATGGGAATTATTATAGTTTTAAACTCTCCGCAAAATTTCATTACAAGCAAGCATATTTATTTATTTTTAAAGTTAATTAATTAAATATCAGAGTTGTGTCGGACCATCAATTTATTTATTTTTATTATGACAGTTTCAACCAAATCAGGAAATGTAAAGGCACAATTTCTATTTATCCCATTTCTATTATATCATCGTTGGGATTTATTGTTATTATTATTATTATCACTATTATTATTATACGGCAGAGTAATTAATAAAAATCTCAAAAATATAAATATAGCAATTAAATCAATTGTAAAAAAGAAAAAAATAATTTTCTTTTTTTAACTTTTTTCTCTTCTATTTCTGTCTATCTGTTTCTTCTATTTCTGGTTCTCTCTTCTCTCTCGCTCGCTCCTCTCTCTCTCTATCTCTATCTCTCTCTCAATCTCAACATCCCAATTGAAAAAAAAACAATAAATAAATAATTAATTTGGAAAGTTTTTGAAAAATTTTTCAAATCAAAGCAAAAAAATTTATTATATTCTCATATAGCAGACTGATAGATAGATATAGATAGTATATATATTAATATTATTATTGTAATTAATTATTACTATTTATTATTATATTACAAGGTAATTAATCATTTTTCTTTTAATGTTTTTTTTTATCATTCATACATTCATTGCCCTTCCCTTTAATTAATTAATAATATCCTTCACACAATAAATAATAATTATTCTATTGTTTTTCTTTGTTATCTCTTTTATTTAGCAAAAAAAATTGAGGTCAGCAGACCAATAACAGTATCCTTCGGTATTTGACGGCGATTATTCGGTAAATACTAATAATATTTATTACAATAACTAATAATAAACTATTAAGTGTGTTGTGTGTGTCTTACACATATGTATATTTAAAAAATCCCCATCATCAAATTATTTTTATTTTATTTTTAAAATTAAAATTAAAACATCCCGCCAAATTATTTCAATATATAAAGGGTAATTATCATTATTTTAAATTACTTAAATTAATTAAATTACTTGATTGAAAAATATAAAAACACAAATAATAATAATAAAAAAAAAACCACACACACACACCAACTAATTACAAGAAAAAAAGAGGTGATCTTAGTGGTCGGTTTTTTTTAAGGTTCATTTTTTTCATTTTTTATTTTTTCTTTCACCATTTTTTTCTCTCTCTCAATTCCACTTTACCTTTTCATACTTTCTTCTCCTCCTCTTCCTCCTTCCATATACCACACACACACATACGCACAATTTCCCTATATTTCAACATTTATACAACTTTATAGTAGTTTTTCCTAAAATAATAGTAAACACACAAATAAACAAATAAGAAAAAAGAAAAAAGAAAAAAAATCAAACCTTCTTCTTCATTTCTTCATTTCAATCGTCGTTAACATTTATTTTTTTTTTTAATATATTTCGTTCCTTTTTCACTTTTAATTGTTAATAACCTTTTTACATTCTTTTTTTTTTTTTAATTATTTTATTATTTTATATACCTTGTAAACATAAATCATAGGAGCAGTTTGCATACATGCTTTAATGAATTGTTCGTTTTCTTTTAATTCTAATACATCGACTTTTTCTGGTATTCCAGTTTCTGGAATGTAATTGTCAAGCAAAAGATAGAAAAGATTGTAGGTTGGGATTTTTTTTGCACGATCTGTGACGAATTGAAAAAGTTTTTCTGGTGTGTTGTCACCTTTTGATTAATTGAGAAAATCGAATGATTGAGTGAGTGATTGATTTGATTTTGATTGATTGATTGATTGATTGATTTGAATGATAAAAATTATCGACGAATAATAATTATAAAAATACCTTTGCGTTCAACTATTGGTAGATTAACAACATACTGTACATACACAAGTATGTATATATGTAAATATGTATAAAATATACAAGTATGCATAAATATATCAGTTATATTAATATATAATATAAAAACTTTACATCAATTTCAGGTTTCAATCGATTATAATCTAAAGCCCAAATTTTTTGTAAAGCAAGAGCGATATCTTTTAATTCACTGTCAGACGGTTCGATAACTTCAAGTTTAGACATTATTATTTTTTTTTCGTAATAAAAATCAAAAAAGTGTAATATAAAAAAAATGAGAAATTTTCTGACTTACTACTACTATTCATTCATTACATATTTATCTCATTCTCTATTCACTTTGATCCGAATGCAGATCTCGTACAACACCCAAATAAAGAAAGGCATTTGTTTACAAATTTTTTTTTGATATTTCTATAATAATCGAAAATTTCTGTTTTTTGAACTACCATAGAAACGAATCATAATTTCCAAATTTATAATTATAACAATTTACAGTATTCCACCACCCCCCCCCCCTTGTTAACTATATCCGTCAGTCAGTCATCGATCAAAAAAAGAACGAAATGTTTCAAAATTTAACGGGCCAACGCTAGAGTTATCGTCAGCGAAATTATCAATTATAAAAATGGGTAATTTTTGTTATTTAAAAACGGCAAGGGAAATTTACAAATGTTAAATTATAATATTACATGCATTAATATAAAATTTACATTTATGTTTATAAAATAAATTTGATACAACATCGGCCGTCTATTTTATGTAAAATAGCTGGCGGCCAGCGTCTGTGCTGCATAAAAAGTTGTATATATAATATATATATATACATATACAATGATGTTTTGGTGAATGAATATTTGGGTAGCGAGCATGAAAAAACTTGGAGGGTTTATGGAGGGTGTTTCCGAGATGATTGATAACCGCTTAAAATTATATTATTAATGGTCGATATATGGTTGACCAATTTGCAAATATGCGATACATAGATAATTTATTAACTTATCAATAACAATCAATTTACCAAGAGCGCAGCGAAAAACATCATGATTATTTTATTATGATAATTTGTCAGTGAATTGGTATTGAAGGATGCGTTGAATCCAAACAAAAAAAAACTTTTTTTTTTTTCATATTTGGAACAGCAGGGATATTTATAGCAAACTATTTATAAAAAAAAAAAAACTTATATATTTTAAAGACAGGTGACGACAAATATAATTATTATGGTTGGGAAGGAGTGGTAGACGGTAGAAGTAACTAAATTTAGTTGTTAAAGGAGCAAACCAACTATTCCAATTATTATTTGGCGTAGATAGGTTTTAGGTACATGCTAATTTTAGCATCAAACGTTAAGACAGATTAAACCAATTACGATAATAAAAAACAAAATCATGGAATCAATGGATAAATTACAAAATTTTTGGGGGGTTTTTTTTTTAAACTAAATTAATTATGAATGATGAAAATTAGTTTTTACGAGAACGTTATTTTTATCATTCAACTCAAATTTCCCACGAGTTGTAAACCAATTTGGAAAATATTTAATCAAACCTTGTAAGTTGTATGAAATGTACATACACTAATTGATGGATGGATGAGTGAGTGAATGTGTAAAGGTGCAAAAGAAGAGCTTGAAGATTCTTGGTTGGTTGGTTACTTTATTCTTTAGACATAATAAATATTGAATGAAATGGGAGAGAATCCTTTGCGCGCGATTTTCAAATAAATACCAAATATTATAAATATCATTCAGCATTAATGAATAAATACGATACGATGGTAAATTTTATTAATAAAGTTACACTGAATAAATACACGTTATAATAATTGGTCACATATGTTGTTTGTGAATTTAAAAAAAAGGATTGATTGGTGCAAGAAAAAAATTCAAAATGAAATTAAAGTTGTATTATATATATATATACAGAGCAAACAAACACATGCACAAAAAGAGAAAAAATTAAATTTCTTAAATTTAAAATAAAAATTCTGATCGTATGAACCGAATCCAGCGAACAAATAACTGTATAAAATCGTTCACCACATATCAAAAGACCCTAGCAAATTATTTAAAAAAGTTACACGACATAGTTTAAGCCATGATTTATAAAAAAAAAACAAAAGGATGGTGGATCAATTGATCCAATCAATTAAACAAACCTCAAACATTTAATTTTTTCAATTTTCCTTTATTTCCCTCGCTTTTTTTTTCACTCTTATATATGTATATATATATATATATATAAAATAATACATTAAATTTTTTTTTTACTTAAAAAAAATAATAAATAAATAAAATTTTCTTATTATGACAGTTGCCACAACTACAACTACAACAACCACAACAACCACCACTTTATCACGTCTACCTTCTTCACGACTTAACTTTAACGTTACAAACAACAACAACAACAACAACAACAACAAAACCAGTAATAATAATGTCACAAAAGACAATGAAAACGATAGCGGTAAAGTTATTAATAGTAATGATTTAAATTGTCAGGCCAATGATA